ATGTCCAATTTGGAAATTGTTAATGATTTTGATCTCAACCTCTTATACATCAAATCCTGGAAACCATATTCCAGAAGGTATTCTCCCTCCAAAGATATGACTTAGTCTCCTCCACAGGCATCACTAAGAATCATGGGCTTCCTGTCTTTTTGAGGAATTAGAAGAAGTAGAATGGGGGCAAGAGAGGAGAGGCATGTGAACTGTCCTCATTTTATTTTTTTTCTTTCTAGTGGCTAAGGGCCCACCAAAATATAGCATCTAAGATTACCACTACAAAGGAAGCCCAAAGGAGGAAAAAAGAGTTGCCTGTGTAGGAGGCAAGATTTGACTTACTCTTTTGCATACTGCAGTTCCTCAGGAGAGAGTTTAGAGCATTCTTGTGTATCTCTTGCTGCCTCCTGCTCCAGTATATGAATGACATGTTTTTCAATCTGAAATGTTGGTTAAGACTGTCAGCCTATAAAAATTCTCTTTTATGTCAGTTTATGAAATAGCTTACCCTGGTTCCAGAGGTTTTCTCTTCTTTTATAGATGTTTTTTGTTTAGTTTTATCATATTTTTTTCTTTCCTTTTTAAATTTAACAATGCAAGAAGAAAACCTCTATTCGGGACCATTGAGAATCTCTCTTCCATGCCACCTGCTTCGAATTGGTGTTTGTAAAACAGCAATATGATTGGCTAGAAAATATACCYCTGTGATGGGCATAATTTATCCTTTCTTCTGATTGGCTGACAAAAAATGACATATTTGACAGCAGTCATCCGAAGCGGTGGCATGAAATTGAGATTCTCAATGGTCCTGACCAGAGCTTTTCTTCTTGTATTGTTAAATTTAAAAAGCAAAGACAAAAAATACGATAAATACTACACAACAAGAGAGAAAACCTCTGGAACCAAGGTAGAAATAGCAGAAATATAGTGAATATTACCTTATGAAGCCGTGTCCGTAAGTAGCTACTTAACACAAACCGTATTCTGTCAATCTGAGATGTTAATTAAAGAAAATAATTATATCACTACATAATAATTAAATTAATACTACAGTATCATACATGTATCTAATGTCCATTCTTTAAGAGCTGTAACTGAACAATAGAGTTGTTAAATCAAGGACATAGTTGCCCACATAAACTCGATGTTTGGAAAAATAAAGAGTCCCCTAAAAAAGCAGTTTGTATTGAGGGTAACTTAGCCTGCGTAGCGGCTCTAGGGGAGGGGGAAAGGAGAAAACGGAAGGGGAGGGGGGTGGGGGGCGGAGCTCTCTTTTTTTACGCAGGCTAAGGGTAACTATGTAGTCTGGAAGAAGATCTGGTTTCTAAAGGCAACTATCACACTAAAATGCCCAAGATTTCAACTGATCTACTTTATTTATCTTTGAACAWTAAAATTTTSTTAAASAYCAGGCRCTATACACACTGATAGTAGTCCTTCGGGGCTGGCCCTATCTTATCACATGGTTGGCACTCAACCACACCCCAGCTRTTATGAAAGAATGGCTCTGTTATCAATACTTACCTCCAATTTATGCAGAGTTCCAGCAATATCTCCCTTTTTTATATTTAGTAAGCTTTTTTCCTATAAAAAAGTGAGTAAGGAATTGTGATTGTCTCAGAGAATTAAATGATAATCAAATTTTTTTCTTTTTTTTTTATCTTTTTTTCCCCGGGCAATACATTTATTAATAATCATTTAGATAATTATTACTTCAAACCACCATTTCATCGAAAAAGAGTTTAAAATAG